CATCAGCTGATAAATTAGTCCTTTTGTAGACCACAAAATTGAATTAAAATATGGCATTCAGAAATATTTCACCCCAACTATTACATGTGTTACTTAAGGCATAGAAACTCAGATATTTCAATGTAAAAATACAATACTTTACTCAGTCATTTAGAGTTCAGAACAGTTTTATGTGCTTTTATACTTTTTGTGGGCTAGATTCTAAAATTGTGTTCACTGTTAATATCCATGTCTCAGACCTCAGGGTATATTCTCCGCTTCACACATATGTGTAGGTCCTATTAATGTTAATGGGATCAAGTTCCTACTGAGCATTGAAGATGAAAAAATAATACTTGCTAATCTCTTATAACCTCAACACAATGTGAAGTGATACTTAAACCATGTGATCAATAAAGAATGACCAGATGCAATATATACTTTTGCATTAAGTAGCAAACAGGCTGCCTCTAATAATAATAATAAGGAAGAATTAGATAATTCTTAAATTACAAAATTACTACTTTTCAACAGCATCAGCTAAACAAAGTAATATTTTTAAATATTAACCTTTTATGAATGTACAGTCAGGGCCTGATTTGTGGAGGTGCATCTGACTTCAATTGGAGATGTGGGTCTTAGCATTTTTGAAAATCAGACCCTGTAGACCCAGGGTATGGGTCTCATCTTACTTATGCTGGTTTTACATCTGTGTAACCCTCTTCACTTCAATAGAGTTAGTTTTGATTTACATCAAGTGAGATCAGAATCAGTCCCTAAGGGTTTGCCTGGACACCATCTGGGAGCATGCTTCCCAGTGCAGGCAGACAGACATGTGCTAGCTCTGCTAGCTCATGCTAACAATAGCAGTATGGCCCATTGCAAGTGGCTTGGGCTATCCACCAAGTATGTACTCAGTGGGTTGGGCGGGTTTGAACTTGGGTAGCTAGTCCAAATGACAGCACATGCCGCTGCATCCACACTGCTAGTTTTTAGCATGCTAGCTCGTGTCTGTCTACCCATACTGAGAGGTATGTGCGCAGCTGCAGTGTAGACATAACTTAGGGGCAAATTCTGCCTCCATTGTAACCCCTCACTAGGGCTGACTAGAATCAAATTTGTCCTCAGACACGGAGCTCTTAATTATTATTATTTAAAACAGTTACAATTCACACAAAGGTGAGAAAAGTGTGCTTCTATATCTATAGAGGCAGGAGTGCTGAAACAATTTGTATAATGGGGCTGCTGAGAGCCATTGAACCAAACTGGGAACCCTGTAGATCATGAAAACCAGTTCAAGCCAGGGAGTGTGGTAGCGCCCCCAGCAGCGCTAGTTCCAGCCCCTATGTAGATAGGTTCTAATACCACTCTCATTACCATAGTATCTGGGCACCTTCTAGTATTGAGCAACGTGACTGACATCTGTCATGGATTATTCTCTCATCTGCTCCCCAGGCGGTGAAGCACGTACAGTGGAGTGTCTTGTTTGCTAGGGGTTTTGGTTGTTTTTGATAAATATACACGTTGCTGTTTATTGTTATGGGTCGAATTAAAACCCCACTGAGACGGATAGGTGTGAAACCACCCTTCAAATAGCATCACTATTAGCATAAGTCCCTGTGTCAGACAAAAGACATGTGTGAACCCACCCAGGAGCTTTTGGCCGAGTATTGTTTTGGGTGGGGATGTCTGGTGGGAGAGGAGGGGGAAAAAGTATCACACATAAACTAAGACCAGACAAGAACAGAGACAGAAGAGGCAAGAAAGCCAAGCAGGAGCGTGTAAGCACAGTGTGACTATGGACAAAGCTAAGATCTAGTGTGGCACTGTAAACCAAGAAACTGCTTCTTTTGTTCTTGGTTCCTTCTGCATTCAGAGACACAGGACTTTGTACCTTCCTTATAAATAACCAAAACTGCATCAAAGAAAATATCAGATTTCCATCAATTTCTACTTCCAACTGAAACATCTTTAGGGCCCTGAACTTTGACCAGGTGCTTGGTTGAAAAGGGGCAACTTTTTTTTGTTAGAGAAGGCAAAGTCAAAGAAAGGAACCTTGCACTTGGAGCAGAAGCAGTGAGGTTTATGATGGTCCTTTGTTCCTGGAAGAGTTCATTCCATAGTCTTGGACTGGCCCCCAAGAAAATTTCTGTGTCCCACTTGACCTGGCTATGTTTTGGGTAAGCGTTCTTCTCACATACTGCACCTAATGCCTGACAAATGTCTCAAGTCTAGCCCTGGCGCTCTTCTGACTTGAGATTGACAAGCAGGGTTAGTTGTATGGTGGTTTTGAGATGTCCATAAATGAGGGTTCGCACATTGGGATTCACTCATTTGGTGCTTCCATCTTCAAGATCTGAGCCCAGAGTCAATTTCACCGCTGACATAAGTGAGTGCAACTTCATCATAGTCCATGGAAGGGCCATTGCACCACCCAGTCACATTCCTAGCCTATCTGCTTTCTTCTACTAACATAGCGGGCTAAGAACTGTATCCTTCTGTGTCAACAAGGTCTATTGTTATATTCTGCTGTTTATGTTTTCCATGCAATACTAATGTATTTAAATTAGTACCTTAATTTACAAAGGATTCACAATTAGACTTTTCCCTAAGGAGAGACTACTGAGATCCAAATCTTCAAGGGGCTGAGCACCCTCAGCTGCTACTAAAATCAACAGGAGCAGCGGTCACTCAGGGCGATCTCCTGTGCCTGCTGAAGTCCAAAGCTCCCGCTGACTTCAGTGGTGGGGCACAAAGCCTTCTGCCCCTTACAGGAGGTGCTCAGAACCTCGGGCAAGACTTTTCCTGCTGTCCTGTTCTCAGGAATGTCCAGAATTTCACTCACACTTATTTGTTATGCCTCTGCTTGAGGATAACAGGGATTAATGTTTAAGATGATTCTGGCAACCAGAGTCATCTTAAACACAGACCTACTGCTAACCTTAGGGACTTCCTGTTCAAAGAGACTAATATCTGCTGAGGCACATGCTGTACAAACTGCACAAACTGGAAGTGACTATGTTAAGTCCAATTTATTTCTAAGACATAATATAGTCCCCCTATAGCCTTAATTTTAAAATAAAAATTGCACAAAGATACATGTACGAACAAAAAGAAATATGCATTATGCAGGTGTATTTGCCCAGTGCAGTCTTACTGTAGGGACTGACCCTTCAATTCCTACACATGTACCAGCCTCATTGATGGAAGTTCTACCTGGGAAAGGACTGCTACATTTTCAGATGGTATTGCAGAAGATCCCAAGGGGAGAGAGTCGGGGTAATCAAGCACAAAACACAAAGGGCCAGATCGTCAGCTGGTGTTATTCCATGAAGCTCCATTGACTTCACTGGAGCCACGTCAATTTACAGCAGCTGAAGATTGCCCCAATATGCTTATAAACGTTTCTAATATAAAGAGAAGCATGTGAAATTAGAGAGAGAGAGAAGATCTAATAATATCATTGGGACAGTTCCTGTCCTCAGACACAAGTGCACACCCAATATTTTAGGGAAGATTTTGCTCCACAAACGTGCTGGTGCTTCATCACACACACACACACACACACACACACACACACACACACACACACACACACACACACACACGTAACGTAGTCGTA